AAGCTTCAGAAGAACCTGCTTGACCACAGGCAGTTAGGGCAAGCCCCATGATGGCTAAACCCAGCCTTCAAACTTCCAAGAGTCACCTAGCTCTCCAACTGGAACCACATGTTTTTCACCCTGAGACAAGATACCCATCTGGAGCCCCCTGTTTATTGCCTGTGATTACCTATGCTAGTCTCATTTAGGCTCATGTTCTATGGTTTGGCTGACAACTCATAGTATTAGTGTACAAGCAGCCTTATTAGGGAGTTTCTGTCTTCTTGGCAGCAAGATCTGTGCAACATTTGAAACTGTTATCAAACAGGTTACAAAAATACCATGAAAACAGAAAACAATAATAGAAAATTAACAAGAAGATCTCAGTAACCTCCCAGACTGACAATATTGCAATTGCTGCACTGCAGCATTACCTAAACACCCACCTATTAGGCATGTTTTACCAGTAAAATTCTCTCCAAGATGAAAATATGTATGTATTGCCACTCCCTTAGCATTACATACTTTCAACCAAGTACAGCTCTATCACTGTGAAGTTAAAACAACTGATAAAACATCAAGTCTACTGCCAAAACTCTCCTACTTGATGGTCAGAAGGCATAACTGTTAATTAAAATCCATGTTAAACCCACACAAGTAAAATACTTCCAGGCTTCAAGAATTCCTGCACTTTGAAGACTACCATATCTCTGTGATCAAGACTTTAAAGGCAGACCTCTGGAATCCCTCATCATGGCTATTCATCCATTCTGAGATGCCAGCTTGTTCTTGCTGGACTGGTACTGCCTCCCATCATGTAGTAATTATCAACCGAATATTTGTGAAATATCCCAGATTTTTGTCTCAGTATACAGCTGTGGAAAAAAAACAGCGAAGATGCACCTGAAAAACACCAGAAAGGTGTATGAAGGGGAAATAGAACTGGGGATTTCTAAAATACTTCAGTTCTGAGATCAAGATACCCCTCATTTGTTCAGAATCCCTTGTGGTCCCACTGCGGGTTTGCAACCCCACATATGTAGGCATTTGTTGAATGCATGTCAGAAATGGTATGATTAATTACTTCCTGTCTTGTACGCTTTGGTGGCTATCCAAAAACCAAAAGAATTAGAAGGGGGAAAGAATGTGTGAGTCACAAGGGAATTTTTCATTTGTAAATGGCATTAGTAAGGCTGATGTTGAAATACTTCATCCAGTTCTGACATCCAAATTTTAAAGCAGCTGTTATGAGTGTTGGGGAATCAGAAAAGGTGCGAAGATAAAGGACTCAGAAGATAGAGAGATACACAGCAGGAGGCTGAAACATTTTAGTTCACTTCTGATATCAAGGTGATTTCATTGTAATGACTTAAGTTATAGGAACTTCCCACACGAGGAAGATAGTTACTAAGTCCAGCTCACGGATGTGATGTAAAAGCCAAAGTAATACACATTAGAAAGGTAATTTTTTTAGCAGATGGGAGGACAAATCATTAGAATGAGCCATCATCATAAGAAAACTCTTGAGCCCATAGATCACGGCTGGGTGTCTTCTAAAATATTTACCTCCATCAAGTTACTGGGCTTTGTAGATGGATAGCATATAAATTTTATACTGGAAAAAAAAAAAAGAACAGAATGAATGATCTAATAGCCCTTCTTGGTCTTAAAATCCACAAATATGTAGTAGAGCAGTACAGTGTGCTGCGATGTGACTGCTTGTCTGGAATCAAACTGCTTGACCATGTACAGTCCTGAAGGCTACATATGCTGGGTGAAGAATAAAACACACTTCTTTCACCAAGCCACATGGTGTTCTCGGTATATGATATTTATACAATGAAACATTGTATAAATTAGAGTTTTCTCAAAAAAACATCCCAAATCACTTTTGAGACATAAACTAACTAAACAGACTGACACAGGCAGGTTCAGGAGTCAGCTGAGATTTTCTACCAACCATCTGTTTAAACAAGACTGAGCAGTTGCATATATTGAGAGACAGTTGCTAATTCAGGTTACCTTTTAATCTTTAACTATTTGGCAACAAATTAAAACAGCTCAGGATTTAAAATTCACAAAATTGCACCATCTCCACCTCAGATAAAGTCCAATGTAGATGTGAGTTTTCACAAAATCTAATATACTTATGCAGGTAAGTATAGATACCTCAGATATCACTGAGACTATACATATATACAGAGGAAATTGATTACCACATACAGTTCATTCACATCAATACTTACTTTTTCCTGTGGTTCTATTAGCAACCATATAGAATGTTGGACTACAGTCTATTAGGGACATCAAAGTTCATCATAACAATTCTCCTACGAAATCTCTGATGAGAATTATAGAAATGATCAATCATCTCTGCATCTATACATGTATTGAGAAATACAGGTAAACAAAAAGCAAAAGTAGTGCAGTTATCTTGCATTTAAAGAAAGACACACTATAAACAACAATCTTTGCCAAAACAACAAAAATATTTGCTGAAAGGATTCCGTGTTACTTTTATTCAAACAAGTCCTGTAAACCTCAATACTGTTTAATCATATGATTCCCAGGAAAATTGTTCCCATTTTTAAGACTGCAGAGTATATATACAATGCAGTATATATAATAAATGAAAAATATATACAATAATATTTAGTCCACATATTTTTCTATACATACACCTACACATAAGTAGTATTCATTCCTAGAGATCTGATCCCAGCCTATTTAAAATTATTATCATCTGCAAGGTAAATGCATATTTTTGCATCTATTATCAATCTAAAAATTACTGTCATTTTCATAGATTGGACATGTGTCTAATGAAAACATGTAATTGCTGAAGTAGAGATCTCTACCAAATCTAGTAGGAAATGCAAAAAATACCTTAGTTCATCAAGACCAGGTACCTATGTCTTTAAGTGTTCTTTAGAGGACTTTTCATATCATCTGTGCTCAAGTGATCACAGTTCTCTCATAAGTACTCAAATTCTTGAATTATTGTCTTTATATTAATGGATATCATTTTTTATGCTGTTAACCACAAAAGAGGTGGATAAACTGGAGAAAGTACAGAGGAGTTTAACAAATGGGATCAGAAGTTTAGAAAGCATGTTCTACTGAAAGAACTTAGTTTGTTTAGTCTAAAAAGGAGAAGACTGAAGAAAGATATGATAAGAGACTTCAACTATGTAAAAGGTCATTGTAATAAGTCTTCTTCATGCTCACGAGGGATAGGGCAAGAAACAAGGGGCTTAAACTAGAGCAAATGTGACTTAAAGATCAAGAAAGGCATTTTATGGCATACTCAAAACTTAAGCTTGAAAATTGAAAAGCTTACCTACTTAAAAGTTATGTCAGATATATAAATGTAGCAAGAAGTAAATTTACTGACTATCCTATACTGTAGCAGAAGTAGATAACAGATCCACTGTGATGGACCATAACATTTGTCCACATAGAGACCAGGACAAAACCACTGAATTCTGACAGCAGAACCATGGAGCTTGATGAAACAGATTCATTTCTTCTTCCATAATGGCCCGAAGCTGGAGATCTGTTCTATACAATTACTTGATAATTCTTACTTTTGCTTAAGAATATTTCAATTTCCACTACACTGTGACTTAGCTCATGTCAAGCACAAGGACAGAAGTTCAAAAGAATAATTCTAATCTGTTCAGGGGAACTGAAAATGAAAAAAGCTTAAAAAACACGCAATAAGGGACCTGTTCTCCTGACATCACAAGTTAAAGTAAATCACTCTGATGTTAAGAGAAAAGCATTTCACACTTTGTCCCTCCAGCACTGCTTATTATTGACCTCTGGTTGTAACCACTAGCTTTTTTTAAAATCATTTCACTGTGTCTGGAAAAGGAGAAATACAAGTAACTATTAACTAATCTTTGACGTTCAAATAATTCCATCAATGTCTACCTTGCAACCAGTTTTTCACTCTTTTCTTTAAGGCGGGGAAAATTCTGAGTTGAATGCTGGAAGTCTTATTTAACTCACCTCGGTGCCAGTCATGCAACAAAACAGGTAATAATCACACCTTGTGATGTGAGGTAAAAACTGTTCCTCACTATGTTTACTTCAGAAAAGGAGCAACAGGAATTTAAGTGCCTATATACCACCTGAGGATTTAAAAAACTGTAGAAACCAAACTAAAGCACTTTACTAGTTTTCTGTTTGAACAGAATAAATCTGTTTTATTTTCTTCTCCAAAATAAAACTTAGATACTGAACAGTGCCTGTATTTTCAGTAGAATCACACTTACTTCTTACTCACTTTAAGAAATGCTGAACAGAGCAAAAAAAGTATCCATGCCACAGAGTGACAGACATTTAAATAAAGGATTGTCTCAGTCACAGTAATTAACACTGTTTCTGTTAGATGCCCTTTACTCCACTTGCCTTTTTAGCCATGACAAGCCCACGAACTAAACCATTCTGTGTATAGCTCAAAGCCCTGCTTTGTTGACAGACACAAATGATATTTCATCAAGGAAATATTCCTTTTCAACATTGGCTCTCAAAAGACATCTAACATCTTAAAGGAGTTGAGATTTGGACCGAATCATTTGGTTAATGAAGCACTAAAGATTAATAAATCAATCAACAGGAATTAATCATCTGTCAGGGAGTTCTCAATAAAAGTGTTTTAGATAAGAACATAATCACAGAGGAGAGATATGCACATGGCCTGAAAGAGTGGTCATCTTGATCCAATACGGATCTTTTAATTAGATTTCTCACTGCCTCCATGGTCAGATATACTTAAAACAAGGACAACACAGAGAGGCTTTTCTTTCCCTCATTAGTGTTGGACTAAATAACAATGGATTATATAGCTGCTAGAAGCATTCACCAAATACAGAGCTCATAATGTATAGGAGGGCACAGCAACAGCTAATGAAAACCAATAAAAGTCATTGTCCTGGGCTCAGGCTGCAATCTCAAGTAGCTTCAGTTTCATCAAGAGTGAAGAATAAAGGTGACTCACTTGAACAGTTTATTACCTTGAATACTTCTTTTGAAAAAAGCTTTGCAGCCCTCGCAAGACCAGACCCCATAATGGTAGCCTGAAGCATAGTCGTTGCAGACAGCACAGTAGCGAGTTTCCTTCGTGGACTCCATGGACAGACTCCCTTTCTCATTGGTACTGGACATCCTCTCCCGGATGCTGTGGCGTCTGTTATCAGAGCTTGGCCTGTTAATAGCAAAAAATAAAAACAAGCATAGTTCTTTCAGAGGGGTTATGCCTCATCCACTGCTTCAGATTTTAAGAAAGAAGAACAAATCCAGTTTGAAAACAACAGACGGACAAAAAGGGGGAAAAAAATCTTTTAGCACCCTCTCTCCTGTTCTAGTTGGAAAGGTGCAGAAACATTAAGATACAGGGCAATTTCTCACAAATCAACCTGAAGCTATTGGGCATTGTACGTTGAAAAATTAGAAAGCTATTTAGTAAATGAACCAATTTTTCTCAAGACAATAGAAAGAAATACTGAAAAATCAGCATTACTTTGTATACCTGCTTCTGTCCAAAGGTTTCAGCATGACTGCAATATCAGCAGCTAATTTGAGAATCTGAGTCCAAAATCACTGAATGATTGCACCTCAACTAGCTTAATTATTAACTTAAATTATTATATTATATACACTTAAATGATTAACCCAGTTATTTTGAAGAAGCCCAATTAAAGAAGAAAATTTTCCTTAAATTTTCAAGATTGTTAATTGTATAAACCAGTCCCTATTCTCATCACAATACCACTTTCATAAAAATTATTTTCAAAACCAAATGTTCTTTGCCAAGACTTATATACATTAGCTAATTTTGAACATGTATTTAAATAATTTTATTTTTCCTTGGACTTGTGCATAAGTGAAGAAACTGTATATGGTGACGTCCTGGCATGACACAACTCTGGCTTTTTAGTGAGACTGGAAAATAGAAGAATGTCACAATTATGACAATGTAATTCTATGAAAATAGGCAGAGAATTAAAAAACTGAAAAATGCAAAAGGTAAAAAAATTAAAACAGTACCATTAATCAGTGATTAGGAATCCAACACATACATTGTCCATATAACTACAGTTTCCAGCCCACCAAACCTATGTAGGTATTTTTATTCTTCTCAAGGTTCTGAAACTTCCTTTGAATTTGCTTTATCCCAGTGCCTCACTTAATTGACTTTTTGTTTTTTACTGAGCACTGATCAAAGCTGTACTTTACCTTCTCCACCCCATTCTCCCCTTCCTGCAGCTATAGCACCTCTCTCAATATAACTTTCAATAAACCACAATGTGGTTTGTTTAAAAATATATACTCTTAGGTGTATATAACTACAAGAATATTTTAAATATTTGAAGCAAACCAGCAAGCACTCTAATAACAGTTAATATCATTTTAACAGCAATAGACTAATCTGTAAGGTACACATCATGGCTTGATAGATATCCATAGTTTTTCACTGTTTTTTTCTAAACTGATACAAATACACATTTTACACAAGATAAGGTTCCCAGAATTATTTTCATATCAATAAAAAGTATAAATACATTACAATTTTATGAAGTCTAAATGTTTTTTTTTCAAAAAAGCACTTTAAAAACAGTGCAAGGGAAAAAAGAATCAAGTTGCAATGCAGTTGCATATTTTTGCAGGTGTGCAGCAGTTTTCCAACATCACACATGCACATACACTTACTAAAGCAACCCTAGTTTTCTAGTCGGATACAAAAGAAAACATTTTAATAGGTAAAACCAAAATAAATATCAAGAAGTATCAGTCATCACTGATTTATTGGCCCAGATACATTTTCATCTTTTCAGAATATTTGTCTTTGCTCAGATCAAGACTGGGTTCACATACACAAATTTTATTAAAATTGTATTTAATAATAATGAAAAAGTACCAGAAATGGCCTGAAATTTAAAACCCTAACTTTTTCCAATATAGAACAGATAAGAAACTTCATGAAATATGTACACTCCAAAGAATTTAAGCTGCATAAACACTAACAAGGAAGATGCAGTTAATACAGCTATTTTGCCATGTTGTTTGTGGAGAATCTGTCCCACAGGTTCTGTCCATCCTCAGTCACCCAACAATGCCACTTTTTCAGAGGGAGGCTGCAGGCAGAAGCAATGAGACAACACACTCCGTGTCAGCACACAGGCTCCATCACACCAGGGACCACAGACAGACAGGGAAGCAATGCCACTGCTCACACCTGCCTGTAATGCTCCTTTATTTCATATTTGACTTAGGTCTCCATTGCCTTCCTGCACATAGACTTGTTACATTCAAAGAGCACTATAAATCTGCTAACACAGACCTTCACAAAGAGAAATTAGACTAAAGATGACCTTGCAGGCTTCCCATGCCCAGAATCAGTGCCACTCAAGCACCACTTGAGCAAGGTTTTGCAAACTGGCCTTGCAGGGTCATCACATTCAGGCTTCAGTGAACCACAGTGGGAAGTAGATTAAAATACCCCCAGCCTCATCTTCCCCAGAAACAGCATCTTGTCACCCTTTTCCATTTATATAGTGAAAATAAAAGCTGATAATAGATAAAGTCTAGTAATTATTAGAAGAGGTGAAGAGGAAACCTTTTGGTGGAAACTCGAGTATCCCAAAAACACAAAGATTGCTAAATCAAAATAACATATCAGATTTGACCCAGAAATCAGCTGCTAGCTAGAACATATCACAGACCACAGATCCTGACAAAAAAAAACCAAAGCAGTCTGCTCTTCATCCAGTTTTCATCTAATTTTTAAGGGTTAGTCTTCTGGAGAACATAGTAAAACAACCTAACCCAGCTTTACAACTTTGGCAAGACCATCATTCCCAAAATACAATAGCAGAACCTTTTTCTACAATATTCTTTGTCATCTATGCAAACAATAACAACACACACAAAAAAAAAAGACCAAAAGTTCTTGCCAACTGTTTACCGAAGAAAAGCACAAATCAAAAGGAAAGAAAACCCGAGATAGAGGCCTCTCTCCAAAGCCTGCAACAAAACAAAAAAAAAGCAAAAAAACTACTCAGAAATTATTGCTCATTTCCAAACGTAATAACACAGCAGACATAAAATGGAAAGTGTTTGGAACTTATAGAGCAGGACAAACTTGTCTTCCACACTCACTTTTGTTTTTTCACCTATGTTGCCGAGTCTGCTCTTCAATAAATGTACTAGCAAACAAGAGACTTCTACATTACATGATCACTTATGACCTGCAACTCTGAATGAGCCAAGAAATCATCAATCCTATGCTGACTGCAAGGTAAAAAGAAAGTGTACAGGAAAGAATTACAGTTTTACAATGTAAACTATTTTTTACATCAAGGTAATCTGACTGGCAGGCAGGATGAATTTAGGATAACCCACAGTACACAATCCACCCAACAGTAAGGTAAGGCCCAATTTATTCACAATCGCAGCTTTACCTGAAATAAAGAGATTTCATAGTAAAAGTGCTTAAGGTAAAAGTTATTTAAGCAGTAAAAGGAGACACTTCAAGAAAATCTAGTTTTCCAAATTTATTTTCATACAAGAAACTTTAATCTGCAGCTGCTAAAACTTTATTAACAGAACAGACAGAAGCTTCCAGTGTAAGAAGCCTCAAAACCAACGGCCATTTCAAATGCAGCCATGGTCTAGCACAAATGCTTTTCCATGCATTGGACCTATTATAACACCATTCTGCCATTCAATACGAAATTAACCTGCTGTTAAAATGTGAATTTCCATATGGGGCAAAATATTTGAACAGAATTAAGTGCTTGAAAATACTTACGAGACATCTCAAGAAGTACTGCAATAGGAATGACCAAGTATATAAATAAACAGAAAATTGCCAAGTGCATTAAGGACCTCAAAACTCTATCCTCAGAAAGCTCCAATGAATCTGAAACGAAACCGTATGCCATCCAAATGAAAGTGTTGGCTTAAAACAAATATCCTAAAATGTCTAGGGCTGTAATTAAGCTAAATACAACTTGATGGTGGAGAGAAAAAGCCTTACATGGAGTTGTATGTGAAATGGACACAGTCACAGGGTATTTTAGGCTAGATGGAATTTTGGGAGGTGGCCACATGCCGAGCCAGCATTGACACAAAATGGGCTGCAGCAATGAGGATGGGTTACAGCAATGGGAGCAGAATGCAGCATGATTCCTTGGTTGATAGCCTGCTAGTGATGAAGATTGTCTAGACCTCACTCTGGGACCTGATTGCAAGTGATTCCTGATCCACGGCTCTGAGCACATGCAATTCACATAGCTAAACTCTCTTCCTCTCCAAAACAGGATGGTTTCATCGATGCTGCTGAAGGAGAAGAAACCTTTTATGCTCGTGCCTGAACCATGCCCTGGGCAAGGGTCACTTATCTTGGCCAAACCATGCCTGGGAGTATGAAACTATTCAGCTGTGAGAGCCGTCATGGTGTTTACACCCATGCCCTGGCCTTGTTTAGGTAAGTAACATACATACAGGCCTTTCTTTCTCCAATATCCTCAGTTTATTCCCTGATCATCAGCAAGTTAATGTCTCTGAGTGCAGCCTCAGGAATGAGTTCAATAACCATTTCCCTTAGACAATGATGATGTATCTTCCAGCTTAGTCTTAGCCTACCTCACTAAACCTGACATTTAAGTTCACCTACAACTTCTATATTGGATAAACATAGCTGTGAAAGTTTGACACTCCTGGGTGAAAATATGCTGCATGAGGAGTTGCCAGTAGTTCGTATCTCTAAATGGACTACATGGCCAACTCCTCTTGCCTCTCCCTCAGCCTCTGGCAGCTTCCTGTGCCTTCACAATTCTTTCCACCAAGAGAAGCAGAGTGCAACTAGGAAGGCTGCCATAGCAGAGGTGCACAGCAGCTGCCCTAACACCTTGGACAAGGCAGAAGGAGACCTTCCTGCTGTAGAAATGCTCCAGAGGGTGACCAGAGGGTCACTTCATCTGTTTCATGGATTTCACTCATATCTTCTCTTGTGCTTCATGGTGAGTGTGGGGACACCTCAAGAGGACTACCTGCCTAAAAACCCTGAGCTGAAGTAGTGAATGGATGAGTTGAAGAAATAGTGCCATAAAGGAATGAGGAGAGACAATGTGAAGAACTATTTTAAAATAGCAGAGGATATACATGAAGGAAAACTAAAAAAAAATGGCAAGGAAACCAACT